CACCATGGATCCCAGTATCCCTCCCACCCCCCACCCCCCATCCCACCCTGCCTCTGTGGCAGGGCACTCCCTTTTGTTCTCTCTCTCTCCTTTTGGGTGTTCACACAGTATGTTTCAGGGACAGAAATAAGTTGAGTGGACTTTGGGTTATTTGGCTGCTAAAATGAGTGAAGGACTGTCCCCAGTAACTGGGGTGAATGAAAAAGAACCAACTTTTAGGAAAGTGGGCAGAAGAAACACTTGAAATCTTTCTGGTTGGCGGGCCATAGTAGCTCAGGGCTCGGGGCTCTGGGGGGTGCCAGGGATTGAACCCAGGGTACCACATGCAAGGCAAATGGTACCCTGCTGTACTGCCGCTCTGACCAGCCCCCAGCTCCTGCATTTTACACTCTGTCCCTGGAAACACGGGTGCCAGGTCACCTAAAAAGGTCCCTTCCAGGAGGCTGTGGTAGCTGCCCTCCTTAGTATGGGTCAGATGCATCCTTCCTGCCCTCATTTCTTTTTTTATTTTATTTTTTTATAATTAACAGTATTTTTATTTATTTTTAAATTTTTAATAGTGAGACATCATGAGGTACAGTCACAGACTTACACATTTTTGTGCTTGGGTTTCACTTATACAATGATCAAACACCCATCCCTCCACCAGTGCCCATTTCCCACCACCACGGATCCCAGTATCCCTCCCACCCCCCATCACCCCCCATCCCACCTTGCCTCTGTGGCAGGGCATTCCCTTTTGTTCTCTCTCTCTTATTGGGTGCTGTGGTTTGCAAAAGAGGCAATGGGTGACAATCATGTTTGGTCTAGAGTCTACTTTCACCTGCCCTCATTTCTTATCCTGGTGTCAGAGCACGGGAATGAATGACCCGGCAGGCGTCAGCAGATTTGCCTGGTGTGAAATCTCCCTCCCAGCAAGGAGAGAATTTTTGTTCTTATTTTCCAACTTAATATTTTTTTCAAACACATCCATCATCTTTAGTTGTGTGGGGGCCCCCAGCCGCTGCATCCTGGAGACTGTCCCCAGACTTCTCCAGGAGGGGACAGGGCCACCTAGTTCCAGGTCTTCCTGGAAGGCCTGGAACTGCCCGTGCTGGCCCACGGGCTTGCAACCGGCTGAGGTTTCCGGGTAGATAACCCTGATCAAAATCGAACACTGCCTCTGGCCACCTAGTCACCTCGAGTTTAAAAAACAAAAAAGAAAAAAAATCAATTTAGGGGCTGGAGTGATAGCACAGCGGGTAGGGCGTTTGCCTTGCACGCAGCCAACACGACCGACACAGGTTCGATTCCCAGCACCCCATATGGTCCCCTGGGCACCACCAGGAGCAATTCCTGAGTGCATGAGCCAGGAGGAACCCCTGAGCATCGCTGGGTGTGAACCAAAAAGCAAAAAAAAAAAAAAAAAAAATTCAATTTAAATGGAAGTGCTCGGTTTGGGCGACCCCAGCAGTGCTGGGGGTCACTCCACACAGAGCCCGGGGCTGGCCGCGGGCCAGGACCCTGGACCTGGGCTGCAGGGGTGCAGGAGGGGGCAGGGGCAGAGCCCCCCGGGCCTGATCTAGCACCTGGCCCAGGCTGTCCGTTTCAGGGTCGGACCCTGCGGCCACCGCACCCGGGGGCCCGAGTGGACGCCCGTGTCCGACTGCACCGGCCCCACCCCTGGGCCTCGCACGCCCCCCGCGCCCACCCCGCGCGTGGCCCTCCGGAGACCACGCGACCCGCCGTGACCCCGACGCACGCCCGCGGGGCCCGGGCGCTGACGTCAGGCTCTTCCGACCCGGCCGCGGGGCGGGGCGGGGCGGGGCGGCCCAGGCGCCCTCCCCATTGGTCCCGGCGGTGAGTGACGCCGCGCCGCCCCGCCCACTCCGGCCGTCTCCCGGGGCGTCGGCGTCGCAGGGCCGCGCGTCTTCCCCATTGGGCCGGACTGTGAGTGACGCGAGGGCCCCGCCCCCGAAGGCGGGCTTTGGAGCCAGGTCGCTGTTTCCATTGGATAAGGGGCGGGGCTCTGGGGGAGTTTCCGAGCCCCATTGGTCCGCGGGGAGACGAGAGACGCGCGCGCCACCCCGCTCACTCCGCGGGTGTCTCCCGGTGAGTGACGTGAGGGCCCCGCCCCCGAAGGCGGGCTTTGGAGCCCGATCGCTGTTCCCATTGGGATAGGGGCGGGGCTCTGAGGGAGTTTCCGAGCCCCATTGGTCCGCGGGGAGATGAGTGACGCGCGCGCCGCCCCGCCCACTCCGCGGGCGTCTCCCGGGGCGCCGGCGACGCAGCACCGCGCGTCTTCCCCATTGGGCCAGACTGCGAGTGACGTGAGGGCCCCGCCCCCGGAGGCGGGGCTTGGGGCCCAGCCGCCGTTCCCATTGGGCCAGGTCGTCGGGGCGCGCGGGCGCGGGGCGGGGCTTCGGCGCGGCTCCCGCGGCTGATTGGCCCGCGCGGGTGGCTGGAGCGCGCGTGGCGTCCCCGCCCGGCCCGCGGCGCTGACGTGTCGCTGCGGGCGGTTCCGGCTCGCCCCGCCCCGCGGCCCGTAGCGGTCCCGAGGGGCGGGGTGGGGGGACCCGCGCGCCGCGGCCGCCCCGGCCCCGGATGCGGCTATTTAGGCGGCCGGCCCGGGACGCCCCGAGTGGCCGCGCCGAGGACACGCGCCGAGGTGAGCCGGGCCGGGCCGGGCCGGGCGGGCCGCGCTGGACGCCGCGGGGACAGTCCAGCCGCGCCTGCGGGGGGCGGGGGGACAGGCCGGACTCGCTTGCAGGGGACGGTCCAGCCTCGCTTGCAGGGGACGGTCCAGCCTCGCTTGCAGGGGACGGTCCAGCCTCGCCTGCGGGGGATGGGGGACAAGGGCCGCCTCGCTGGACGGGGGACAGTCCAGCCTCATCTGCAGGGGTTGGGGACAGTCCAGCCTCATCTGCAGGGGACGAGGGGGGGGACAGTCCAGCCTCATCTGCGGGGGGGCGAGGGGACTCGCCTCTGGGGGACAGGGGACAGTCTAGCCTCACTTGCAGGGGACAGTCCAGCCTCGCCTGCGGGGGACGGGGGACAAGGGCCGCCTCGCTGGACGGGGGACAGTCCAGCCTCTCCGGCGGGGGACAGGGGACAGTCCAGCCTCACCTGCGGGGGGCGGGGGGACAGGCCGGACTCGCCTCCGGGGGACAAGGGACAGTCCAGCCTCACCTGCAGGGGGCGGGGGACAAGGGCCGCCTCGCTGGACAGGGGACAGTCCAGCCTGATCTGCAGGGGCTGGGGACACTCCAGCCTCACCTGCTGGGGACATGTGCTGCCTCTCTGGAGGGGGACAGTCCAGCCTCATCTGCGGGGGACGGGGCACAGGCCGGACTCACCTCCCGGGAATGGGGGCCACCTCGCTGGACAGGGGACAGTCCGACCTCACTTGCAGGGCCCAGGGGCTGCCTCCCTGGACGGGACAGTCTGGCCTCACCTTCGGGGGATGGATGCGGGGGGGGGGCGCCTGGCTGGACAGGGTTCAGTGTGGCCTCGCCTGCACCGTGGGGGGCTGTTCCCTGCAAGAGGGGTCCAGGCCCCGCCCCCCTGCTGGCCAGGGGACGGCTCACCCACGAGGCGCTGGGGCCCCCGGTTACCCGCAGCGAGCGTGGGGACAGTTTTCCTGCAGAGGGGACAGTCCAGCTTCATCTGAGGGTGTCCAGAGGGTCCCCTGTTAGCGGCCGTGGACACGGTCCGTGTTTGTTCTCCGTGTTTGTTCACCTGTTCCGGGAAGCACAGGCAGGGCCCCTGGTTCCCGGGGAGGGCAGGGGCGTGGCGGGTCGCGGAAGGCAGCTGGGCGTGCCGCCTCTGTGCTCTTTGGTGAACCCTGGAGTTTGGGGGTGGGGTTGTGGGGGTCCCCCGGCCACTCCTGCCTCCTGGTGAGGTGGGCTGGGGGCTCCCAGGAGCCCTCACAGGCGGGCCCCGCCGTGGACACCCCGGGGCTGCGGGCAGGCGTGGGGCCGGCAGACAAGGACAGAATCACCGCGTTGCTTCAGACGGCCCCAAAACCCCCATAAAGGCGCCACGGGGCACGGCTGTTTCCAGACCCGCCACTGGGGGCCACGCCGGGCATCAGGGACGCTGGGGACTGACACCGTGTCCACACAGTGTGTATTTACACTGTGCACTCACGCCCACTGCCGTGTGCACACACCTTGTACTCACACCCACTGCCACGTGCACGCACTGTGTACTCAGACCCACTGCCGTGTCCACAACTGCGTACTCACCCACTGCCGTGTCCACACTGCGTACTCACCCACTGCCATGTCCACGCTGCGTACTCACCCACTGCCGTGTCCACAACTGCGTACTCACCCACTGCCGTGTCCACAACTGTGTACTCACCCACTGCCGTGTTCACGCTGCGTACTCACCCACTGCCGTGTCCACAACTGTGTACTCATCCACTGCCGTGTTCACGCTGCGTACTCACCCACTGCCGTGTCCACAACTGCGTACTCACCCACTGCCGTGTCCACAACTGCGTACTCACCCACTGCCGTGTCCACGCTGCGTACTCACCCACTGCTGTGTCCACAACTGTGTACTCACCCACTGCCGTGTTCACGCTGCGTACTCACCCACTGCCGTGTCCACAACTGCGTACTCACCCACTGCCGTGTCCACAACTGCGTACTCACCCACTGCCATGTCCACGCTGCGTACTCACCCACTGCTGTGTCCACAACTGTGTACTCACCCACTGCCGTGTCCACAACTGCGTACTCACCCACTGCCGTGTCCACGCTGCGTACTCACCCACTGCCGTGTCCACACTGCGTACTCACCCACTGCTGTGTCCACACTGCGTACTCACCCACTACCGTGTCCACACACTGTATACTCACACCCCCTTCGGTGTCCACCTTCCACGCACACACTCAGACTCATTCCCGTGTCCACACTCCGTCGCCCACGCGTCGTGTCCGCCCTAACACCCACTCCCGTGTCCAAAGCCCCTGTCCCCTCCGCACTCCCGTGACCCGTGACCCCTCTTGCAGGTCTCCTGGACACGGGCTGCGTCCCCCCCGGCAGCCGCGTGGCTGCAGGTCACCATGGAGCCGAGTGACCTCCGCCAGCGGCTGGAACGGGCCGGGCAGGCGCACGTCCTGCAGTTCTGGGACGAGCTGACGCCGGGGCAGCGGGAGGAGCTGCGGACCGAGCTGCAGGCCCTGGACCTGGACGAGCTCGGCGGCTTCTTCCGCAAGGCCATGGCCGGCTTTCAGCAGTCTTGCGGCCAGGAGAAGGTAGACACGCGGATGGAGCCGGTGCCCCGCGAGGTACTGGGCAGCGCCACCAGGGACCAGGACCAGCTGCAGGCCTGGGAGGATGAAGGTACGGCTGTGTCCACTCCCGGGCCGGCCCTCGCTGGCTCTACTGGCCTTCACTGGCTCTCACTGACCCCCACTAGCCCTCACTGGCCCTCACTGGCCTTCAGTGGCCCTCACTGGCCTTCAGTGGCCCTCACTGGCTCTCACTGGCCCTCACTAGTGTCCACTGGCTCTCTTTGGCCCTCCTGGTGCTCCCGCTCGGGCACTTCCTGGGTGCCTTCCTCCCCTCCCCCGCCCTGGCCTGCAGCCCCACAGGAAGACGGTCTAGTGGCCACTGCTTCTGGCACTGCCCCTTAGTCGGGGCAGGAGAGGCCCAGGGTGCTCCATCCTCACGGTCAGCGTCTGCTCGATCCTCTGGAGGGAGATGCCCCTGCCCAGCCCGGCTCTCTTCCCCTGCCCGGCCTCCCTCCCTGCGCTGCTGGGCTCATGCCGGCCAGAGGCGTGTCCGGGATCCCGGCCGTGGGCCAGCCTGTACCTCTGTCCACGCCCTGTGCCCAGGGCGCCCAGCTGGAGGCCTGTGCCTTAGAGACCGAGGGTCCCAGCCCCTCCAGCTTTCTTTGGGGGTTTCTTCGTTTTTCTTTCTGGTTTTGGGCCCCCTCTGGCGCTGCTCAGGGCTGACTCCTGGCTCTGTGCTCGGGGCTGACTCCCGGCTCTGTGCTCGGGGCAGACTCCCGGCTCTGTGTTCAGCCATCACTCCTGGCGGGCTCGGGGGACACTCTCGGGTGCCGGGGCTGGAACCCCGGGCCGGCCGTGTGCAAGGCCAGTGCCCTGCCCACCGGGACTGTCTCTCCAGCCCCCACCTCACTCTCCCTCCCTCGCGGCCGCGCCCATCCCCCGCCGCTGCGTGCAGACGGGGGTCCGGGCGTGTGACCCCGCGTCTCTCTCTCAGGGCTCCTGCAGATCGCGCAGAGCAGAGTGGCCGCTCTCCTCCTCGCGGGCGGGCAGGGCACGCGGCTCGGCGTGGTGTACCCCAAGGGCATGTACGACGTGGGCCTGCTGTCCCGGAAGAGCCTCTTCCAGATCCAGGCCGAGCGCATCCTGAGGCTGCAGCAGCTGGCGGAACAGCGCCATGGCAGCCCGTGCACCATCCCCTGGTGAGTCCTCCCCGGGGAGTCCTCCCCTAGCGAATTCTCCCCAGTGAGTCCTCCCCGAGGGAGTCCTCCCCTGGAGAGTTCTCCCCTAGTGAGTCCTCCCCTAGTGAGTCCTCCCCCCTGGAGAGTCGTCCCCTAGGGAGTCGTCCCCTGGAGAGTTCTCCCCTAGTGAGTCCTCCCCTAGTGAGTCCTCCCCTAGTGAGTCCTCCCCTGGAGAGTTCTCCCCTAGTGAGTCCTCCCCTAGTGAGCCCTCCCCTAGTGAGTCCTCCCCCCTGGAGAGTTCTCCCCTAGTGAGTCCTCCCCTAGTGAGTCCTCCCCTGCGGAGCCCTTCCCTGAAGAGTCCTCCCCCAGTGAGTCCTCCCCAATGAATTCTCCACAGTGAGTCCTCCCCTATTGGGTCCTTCCCTAGTGAGTTCTCCTTTGGCGACTCCTCCCCGGGGAGTCCTCCCCTAGTGAATTCTCCCCAGTGAGTCCTCCCTTAGTGAGCCCTCCCCTGGGGAGTTCTCCCCTAGTGAACCCTCCCCTGTGGAGTCCTTCCCTGAAGAGTCCTCCCCTAGTGAGTCCTCCCCAATGAATTCTCCCTAGTGAGTCCTCCTTTGGCAGGTCCTCCCCGGGGAGTCCTCCCCTAGTGAATTCTCCCCGGTGAGCCCTCCCTTAGAGAGTCCTTCCAAGTGAGCCCTTCCCTGCAGAGTCCTCCCCTAGTGAGTCCTCCCCTGGGGAGTTCGCCCCTTGTGTGTCCTCCCCTAGTGAGTCCTCCCTTGGGGAGTCCTCCCCTGGTGGGTCCTTCCCTAGTGAGTTCTCCTTTGGCGAGTCCTCCCCGGGGAGTCCTCCCCTACAGAGTTCTCCCCTGGGGAGTCCTCCCCTTGTGTGTCCTCCCCTAGTGAGTCCTCCCCTGGGGAGTTCTCCCCTAGTGAGTCCTCCCCTAGTGAGTCCTCTCCTAGTGAGCCTTCCCCTGCATGGTCCTCCCCCAGTGAGTCCTCCCCTGCGCAGTCCTGTCCGGGCAGAGCCCTTCCTGACCCCTCTGGCCGCCGACGCTGGCGCGGGTGCCCCTGGGGTTGCTCCCCTGGGACGCAGGTTTCGCTGAGCAGCTGTTATCCGACGTGGGCGTGTGGGACCGCTGGCGTCCCCCGCTCGAGTGGCCACGGCCGCCGAGACTGTCCCCGTGTCCCCGGCTCCAAGGGGGCCGAACCCCACCAAGGGGGGTCTCTGGGGCCTCTCCGGGAGCCGGTGGGCTTGGTCTGGACCCAGCGGGCACTCTATCTGGGACCTGTGTCCTCCGCCCGGGGGGCCGTCCAGGGATCCGTGTCCATCCCCCGCCCCCCTGCTGGCCTCTGGAAGCTTCTCTGGCTGTCCCGCACCCGCTGGGAGGCAGAGCCGGGACCCAGCGCTGGCCCTTCCCCCTGGCCCCCTGGAGTGGGCGGGGTCCCCGCGGGCTCAGCTCAGGGTCTGTCGTGCAGGTACGTCATGACCAGCGGCCGGACGGTGGAGGACACGCGGGCCTTCTTCGGCAAGCATCGGTTCTTCGGGCTGCGGGCCGAGGACGTGGTGTTCTTCCAGCAGGGCATGCTGCCCGCGCTGACCTTCGACGGGAAGGTCATCCTGGAGGACAAGGGCCGACTGGCCATGGCTCCGGGTGCGTGGCCGGGGGTGGGCCGGGGCCTCCCAGCCGGGCGCTGGGTCTTGCTTTGGCCGCCGCGGTCTCCTGCGCGGCCCGGGGCGGGCTTTGTGGCATCAGCGTGCCGGTCATCCCCCACCCAGACCCCCAGAGCGCCCACTGACCCCCACCCGCCTCAGGCTCCCCCCGAAGCCGCCCCCAGTGCGGTCAGCTCCGGGCAATGGGCCCTTTCTCAGAAGCAGCCGCACGTCTTGGCTTTCTTCTTTTCATTTGCTTGTCTGGGGGCCACACCCAGCAGTGCCCGGGGGTCACTCCCGGCCCTGCGCTCAGGGCTCACTCCTGGCGGGGCTCAGGGGCCAGTATGGGGTCCAGGTCGGCCGTGTGCCAGGCAGGCGCCCTCCCTGCTGTCCCTGCTCTGGCCCCTTTAGTCTCGTTCTGTGGGGTAGATGTTCAGACGTTGCTTCTAGTTTTTGGTTTTTGTTTTTGGCTTTTTTGGTCACACCTGGCGATGCTCAGGGGTTCCTCCTGGCTCTGCACTCAGAAATTACCCCTGGCGGTGCTCAGGGGACCACCTGGGATGCCGGGAATCGAACCCGGGTCGGCCAGGTGCAAGGCCAACGCCCTGCCCGCTGTGCTGGGGCTCCGCCCCCTCCGCGGTGATTTTCCCCGTTAGACTCTAAGAGAGTGGGTGTATTTTATTGTGCTTTTACACGCACTGGCAGTGCCCAGGGCTCACTCCTGGCCTTGCCTCCAGGCTGGGGTCGTCCTCGGAGTCGGGCAGTGGCCACTGAGCTCTGCTGACCGCACAAACGCTAGCCACCCACTCGGTGTCACAGCTCCCGCGCAGAGACAGACTCGCCCGGGGTGGGGGGTGGTCCTGGCCAGTGTGGAACAGCCCCCCGCTCTCTTCCAGACGGGAACGGCGGCCTGTACCGGGCGCTGGCCGCGCACGGCATCGTGGAGGACATGGGGCGCAGGGGCATCTCGGCCGTCCACGTGTACTGCGTGGACAACATCCTGGTGAAGGTGGCCGACCCCCGCTTCATCGGCTTCTGCATGCAGAAAGGGGCCGACTGCGGCGCCAAGGTACCCCCCGCCGCCCACAGGCCGGGTCTCTGCCCCGTCCCCCGCCTCCGGCCGACGCCTCCTCTGCCCGCCCCCCCAGGTGGTGGAGAAGACGAACCCCACCGAGCCGGTGGGCGTGGTGTGCCGCGTGGACGGCGTCTACCAGGTGGTGGAGTACAGTGAGATCTCCCTGGCCACGGCCCAGCGGCGCAGCCCCGACGGGCGGCTGCTCTTCAGCGCCGGCAACATCGCCAACCACTTCTTCTCCCTGCCCTTCCTCAGGGACGTGGTCAGGTGGGGCCCGCCCGCCTCGCCCCTTCCCCGCCAGCCCCCGCGCCCACGGCGTCCACCGCGTGTGCACACACACCTGCACGCGCACACATGAACACACACCTGCACGCGCACACACGTGCACAGACCTGCACACGCACACACCTGTACACACACCCGCACACACACCTGCTCACGCGTGCACACATGCACACACCCGCACCCACATACACACCTCCACACGCACACACCTGTACACACACCCGCACACACACCTGCTCGCGCGTGCACACGTGCACACATGCCTGCACACACACACACCTGCACACGCACACACCTATACACACACCTGCACACACACCTGCTCACACGTGCACACATGCACACACCCGCACCCACATACACACCTCCACACGCACACACCTGTACACACACCCGCACACACACCTGCACATGCACACACAGGTACACTCATGAACACATACCCGTGAGCACACACACCTGCACAAACGCACACACGTACACACACACCTGCACACGCACACACCTATACACACACCCGCACACACACACCTGTACACACACACAGGTACACTCATGAACACATACCTGTGAGCACATACACCTGCACACATGCACACACGTACACACATACACATGCACACACCTATACACACACCTGCACACACACCTGCTCACACGTGCACACATGCCTGCACACGCACACACATGTACACTCATAAACACATACCCGTGAGCACACACACCTGCACACACGCACACACGTACACACACCTGCACACCTGCACACACGTACACACACCTGCACACACGTACACACCTATACACACACCTGCACACACACCTGCTCACACATGCACACATGCACACACCTTCATGCACACACCTGCACATGCACACACATGTACACTCATGAACACATACCTATGCACACGCACACCTGCACACAATCGCACCTGCACACACACACACCTGCACACACCTGCAGATACCCGCATACACCAATGCACACATCTACACACACATGCACACACCTACACACGCACACCCCTGCATGTGCATCCTCCCCCATATCACTCCTGTGTGCACTCACATACCGACACATATCTGTATATGCACACACACCTGCACACATGCTCACCCACCTACACACGCACACACACCTATGCACGCAGAGTTGCACATGCACACGCGCTTGTGAACACATCTGCACACACACACGCGTGCACCTGTGTCCTCCCTCCACACCCCCGCACCTGTCGTTCCTCCTCGTGCATGTCTCACTCCTCCCCTCTGCACCCTCGGCCGAGCTGGGGGTGAGGCACAGGCGAGAACCTTCTATGGAAGATGCAGGGGACAGAGGCGTGATGGTGGGAAGGAGTGAGTGTGTGTGTGTGTGTGTGTGAGCTATACAGCCTGGTGTGTGTGAATGTGCGTACGTGTGTGTGACTGAGTGTATGTGCGTGCGTGCAGGTGTGAGTGTGACTGTGAGTATATAAGTGAGTGTGTGAAAGTGTCGGTGTGTATGTGAGTGTGTGTGTATGAGTGTATATGTATGTGTGTGGGGCTCAGTGTTAGTACGAGTGTGTGTCTGTGTGAATCTATGTGTCACTGAGTACATGAGTGTGAGTGTGTGTGTCTGAGCATATGAGTGTGAGTCTGAGTACATGAGTGTAAGTGTGTGTGTGTGTGTGTGTGGCCTAAGGGTGACGTTTCTGGAGAGTTCCACGCCCTGATCCGTGGCCGTGGCCAGGCCCTGCGGCTGGCCCGCCCGCGCCCACGCGTCACCCTGTGTGTCCTTCTGGGCAGCGTGTTCGAGCCCCGGCTGCGGCACCACGTGGCCCAGAAGAAGATCCCGTTCGTGGACGCCCGGGGGCGGCTGGTCCAGCCCGACAAGCCCAACGGGATCAAGATGGAGAAGTTCGTCTTCGACATCTTCCAGTTTGCCAAGTACGGGGACTTGGGGGGTCCCAGATCGGGGGTGGGGGTCTGGGCTCTCGGGGGTGCCCCCCTGCCCGCGGGGATCGGACGCTCTGGGGTTCACGTGGCCGGGATGAGCCGGTGCAGACCCCGCCGCCCTCCCGAGCTCTCCCGAGTCCCTCCCAGCAGTGCTCGGGGGTTGCTCTGGGCTCAGTGCTCCGGGGACGCCGGGGGGCTGGAACCAGGGACGCCCGTTCCCCACCTCCCCGCGTGTGTGGGGCTTCTGCAGGGAGAGTCAACCAAGGCGGCTCGGGGTTGGGGGGCAGCTCCTCCCTGCTGACCCCGGGGAGGGGTGCCGCTGACCGCCCCGTCCGCCTGTCCGTCCGCTCCGGCCGCAGGAACTTCGTGGTGTTTGAGGTGCTGCGGGAGGATGAGTTCTCGCCGCTCAAGAACGCCGACAGCCAGGACGGCAAGGACAACCCCACGACGGCCCGGCGCGCCCTCCTGTCCCTGCACCACCGCTGGGTGCTCAACGCCGGCGGCCACTTCATCGACGAGAACGGCTCGCGGCTGCCCGCCATCCCCCGGTGGGTCCCCGCGTCCCCCCGCGCCGGGCGGGAGCGGGAGGCCGGCTGGAAGCAGGCCCGCCCCGCGGGGTCCCCCTGCCCCGGCCCGGTCCCCCCCCCAGTAACACGTCTTCCTCCCGCACAGCCGTGCCCACCCCGGGAAGCCAGAGGCCAGGCCGGCCGGCGTCCACCACAAGTAAATGCCCGCGGCCTCCCGCTCGCCCCCGCTGGCTGGCTCGGTGGCGGGTCCCCCCTAACACTAACCGGGGCTGCATGCTGCAGGCGGGGCATGAGCTGAGGGCGGCGGCGGCCACGGGGGAGCGGGCCGGGGGCGCGGGCCGGGGTCGCACACGCGTGACCGAGCCGGAGGGGGCGGGCTCTGCCCCGCCGCCCGCTGGGGTCGTGGCTCGCTTCGGTCAGTGTCCGGAGGAGGAGACGGACTCGGAGCAGGGGTGGGGCCCCCACGTAAGCCTGGTCTCTCGGAGCCCAGGGGCCCGGGAGGACCTCGGCTCTGTGGCCCTCCAGGAGGGGCGCGGTTGGGCAGTGGCCCGCAGGGTCCGGCGCTAGGTGGGGGACACCCGGGAGCCACTCTGGAAGTCACCGGAGGTCACCGTAGTGCCTCAAGCTGGGGTCTCCCATCCTCCTCCCCGCCCAGCCCACCCCCGTCTGTGGGGGTCGCTGCCAGGGGCTCCGCCCAGCCCAGCCCCCGTGGCCCGTCGCCCCCCGAATCTGCCAGTGCCCGGCCCGGCCCCTGTTTCTTCTTTCATCTGGTGCAGCTCTGCGGCACTGCCCAGCTGGGGTTGCAGGGGTGGGGTGGGGCGGGGTAGTGCTACCTCCGGGTGCCGGAGTGAGTGCGGTGACCTGAGCTCTTCTGCAAACGCAGCGAGGGCGGGTCTCGGGGGAGAAGTGGGGTTTGGGGGGTCCTGAGTGCAGCGAGTGGGGTCTGCGTGCCCCTGACTCGTGCACCCGCCCACACCCTCCCCTGCACCGTGGACAGCCTGGAAGGCCTTTTCGGCCGCAGGAGACGTGACGGGGGGGTCAGAGCCTGGCCACAGCTGCAGCTGCGCCCACGAGGGCCACACGGGGCTGTTTGGCCCGCCCGCCGGGCCTGCGACCCCTCAGAGGGAAGGAGCCGGGGGCCCAGCTCAGTGTCCCCCCCCCCCCACACACACACTGGTTCTCACGCTCTTCCTTCTCTTCCGCAGCCTCAAGGACGCGGGTGACGCCCCCATCCTGTGCGAGGTGTCGCCCCTGGTCTCCTACGCCGGGGAGGTGAGTGTCAGAGCAGGACCCCGGGGGGCGGAGGGGATGGGACCCCTGGGGAATGCTGGGGTGACACCCGGATCGGCCCCCCCACGAGTCGGGGTGTGACCGGGGACCCTTGAGGTGCTGGGGGGATGGGGGGGCCAGGGTTGGAGCTGGGCCCCTGGAGCTGTTTCGGGACTGGGGGGCGCCTGGCCAGGCCAGGACCCCCGTGCTCAGCCGTGACCGAGTCCCCGTGTCCTCCCCAGGGCCTGGAAGGTCACGTGGCCGGCCGGGAGTTCCACGCCCCGCTAGTCATCGACGAGAACGGGGTCCACGAGCTGGTGAGGAACGGCCTCTGAGGGCCACCGAGGCCACGGGAGAGTCCGGCCAGCTGCGGGCGGTGGCCGTGCCGGGCATCCCAGCTCCCTGGACACCCCCGAACCCACCCCCCCGCTGCGTGGCCCCCACAGTCCCACCACTGGGCTGCACGGAGCCACGCCGACCCCTGGAACGTCTTATTTATATTGTTTGACTGTAGCGTCTGTCCTCAGGCCGGGGCGCTCCCGGCTGACCCTTTGCTGGCCTCCGGCTGGCCCCCGACTGGCCATCCCTGCCCACACGCTGCTGGCCCACGGGGCGGGGACGCATGTCGAAGGCCTCTGCGGTACTCAGAGTCAGATTTATTTTATCAACATGAGCCTTTTTTTTAAGAAAACACTTGGTCCGTCAAATAAAGTCTGGTTCTTGTGTCCCAACGGCCTCAAACCCCCCCCCCACAGAGGTGTCTGCGGGGGCTCGGGGGGCGTCCAGCAGGGCCAGGCCAGGCCAGTGCTGCCCCAGGAGGGTCCCGAGGGGCCGGGCGCAGCATGGGAGGGACAGCCGGGTCATTCCTGTTTGTCTTTTGCTTTTTGGGTCATACCCAAGCGATGCTCAGGGGTTCCTCCTGGCTCTGCACTCAGGAATCACTCCTGGCGGTGCTCAGGGGACCCTGTGGGATGCTGGGAATCGAACCCGGGTCGGCCGCGTGCAAGGCCAACGCCCTCCCCGCTGTGCTCTCTCCGTCCCTGACCCCAGTTTCTGAAAGCGTCCACCCGTGTGCCAGGGGTGGAATGGGCAGGGCCAGGGTGATGCCAACCAAGGGTCCCCCGGGGCGGGGAAGGGAGGGCGGGCCGACCAGGGAGTCACCGGGACCCCCAGAGACCCGAGGGTGGGTGTCAGTGCCCAGTTGCAGGGAACCGACCCACTCACGGAGGCTTTTCCCCCACCTGGGAGCCCTTCCCGGCCGAGCCCCAGACTGCCTGGGGGGCATCCGACCAGAGCCCCCTCCCCCCTCATCTGTGCCTCGTTTTCACCCTCGCCAGCCTCGTTTGGGGGGCAGAGACCCTCAGCGCTTTGGGGGAGACAGACGTAGCTCTCCTGCCAAAGTCAGCATAGCCTGGGGGCCCCAAGGGTCCGGCTTTGGGGGGGGCCCAGACCCCAGCTGAGGTTTCCGGCAGGAAGGCCCTGCCCGCCCCCACCCAGACCCCGGCCTCTGCCCCTGCACAAAGCCCATCAGGCCCCTCCTCCCCATCGTCTCTCTCTTCTGGAACGTTCTCTTGGGGGAAAGAACTGTTTATTTAAGCCAGCAGGGCGAAGCCCTCCCTGGTACTTACAGACTTAGCCCTGGACCGAAACGTAATGAAAATGTCATTTCTCAGCGGTCAGGCCAGATCAGAGTCCTGTGTTCGACTTTTGTTATACCCCCGCAATGGTGATGGTGGGCGTTTGCGCTTCTAGAACCTTCTAGGTTGCCTCTGAACTTTCTCCCCACCGGGCCTGGGGGGTCCCCGAGCCCAGCGCCCTCATTTTCATTGTTTTTTTTGTGTGTGAGTGTGTGTGTGTGTGTGTGTCATGCTGAGAACCACCAATTAAGTCTCTCTATATTATTGCACAAATTTCCTTTCTTCATCCCTGTCCTGGCTTCCCCGGGGATGGTTCCTGGGGGAAGACCCCAGCAGACCTGGGGTCACTTGCCGTCTGTGTCTGTCTCCGCCGTGTGACGCTCCCCAGACGTCTCTCGTTTGCGGACACCTGAGGGGCGGGAATTAGACTTGGAGACAATAGTTTATTTTTTTATTTTTATTTTTATTTTGTTTGCACTTTGGGTCACACCCAGCATTGCTCACGGGTTATTCCTGGCTCTGCACTCAGGAATTACTCCTGGCGGTGCTCGGAGGACCCTATGGGATGCCGGGGATCGAACCCAGGTCGGCTGCGTGCAAGGCAAACGCCCTACCTGCTGTGCTATCGCTCCGGCCCCCAGACAATAGTTCATTTTCAGGCCCCACAGAAGGGTTCCCGCCTTCTGCGGTTCCCCAGGGTGCCATCCCCGAGTACGCTTTGGAGTGGAATCAGGACGGGTGGCGGGATATTGTGTGTCCTGCTCAGAGACGCGGGGTCTGTGCCTGGGTTCCCCAATCTTTGCACTCTTGTTCTGGTTTGGGTCATATCCGGCGATACTCAGGGATGACTCCTGGCTCTGCACTCAGGGATCACTCCTGGCGGTGCTCGGGGGACCCTGTGGGATGCCGGGGATCGAACCCGGGTCGGCCACGTACAAGGCAAACGCCCTCCCTGCTGTGCTATCGCTCCAGCCCCTCTTTTTGGCATAGCAAATAAAAAGGCAGGGGCCTTGCACGCGGCCGACCCGGGTTCGATCCCCGGCATCCCATAGGGTCCCCCGAGCACCGCCAGGAGTGATCCCTGAGTGCAGAGCCAGGAGTCAGCCCTGAGCATCGCCGGGTGTGACCCAAAAAGCAAAAACTTAAAGAAAATCCAAAGGCAGAATTGACAGAGGCGGGAAGACCCTTCGGTGACTTGACCCCTTTGTCCATAGCGACCCTGAACTCCAGTGGGTCTCCCCCTTGTTTGGGGGGTGACAGTGAGCCCCTCCGGGATTTTATCAGCAACCTGGGTCCCCTTCATAGCGTTTCCTACAAGCTGGTGGTGGATCCAGGCCCCTCATTCCTTCGCACTCTGAACTGCAGTGACCCAGGGCCCTGGGACTCATTCTATGGGAACCCCAGGATTTCTCCCGTGCAGTGGGGTGTCTGCAGGGCACCGGGAAGCCTGAGTCCAGGAGCTCAGACTGTGACTCGGAACCGAGTCTCACGTGCTCATGTGGGGGCCGAACTGAGCTCAAAACTCAGGCAGGCAGGGGGCTGGAGCGATAGCACAGCAGATAGGGCGTTTGCCTTGCACGCGGCCGACCCGGGTTCGATTCCCAGCATCCCATAGGGTCCCCCGAGCACCGCCAGGAGTAATTCCTGAGAGTAGAACCAGGAGTTAGCCCTGAGCATCACTGGGTGGGACCCAAAAAGCCAAAAAAATAAAAATAAAAAAGAATTGTGGATTGATAGCACAGCAGGAAGGGCATTGGCCTTGCACACGGCCGACCCGGGTTCGATTCCCAGCATCCCCTAGGGTCCCCTGAGCACCGCCAGGAGTAATTCCTGAGTGCAAAGCCAGGAGTCAACCCTGAGCATCGCAGAGTGTGACCCAAAAACCAAAAAAAAAAAAAAACCAAGAAAACTTAGGCAGCCAGAAATTCATGGAGCGGCACCCCTCCACCCCAGTACCATGGGGGCCCACCCCTACCTCCCGCCCTCCCAAAGGCATTGGGCCTTTCACAGTTAATTCAGCGCTGGAGCAACAGCTCAGCAGGGAGGGGGTTGGCCTTGCACTCAGACTGACCTGGGTTCGATTCCCAGCATCCCATAGGGTCCCCTGAGAATTGCCAGGAGTGATTTTTTTTTCTTTTTGGGTCACACCCGGCGATGCACAGGGATTACTCCTGGCTCTGCACTTAAGAATTACTCCTGGCGGTGCTCTGAGGGGACCCTATGGGATGCTGGGAATCGAACCCGGGTCGGCCGCGTGCAAGGCAAACGCCCTACCCGCTGTGCTATGGCTCCAGCCCCAGGAGTGATTCTTGAGTACAGAGCCAGAAGTCAGCCTTGAGCATCGCCGGGTGTGACCCAAAAAGAAAACACACAAACACACACACACACACACACACAAAGATATTTACACGGAAAACTTTGACCTGCAAAAGGGTGAATTTGATTTGCACGGAGGTCAATTTGATGTGCCCACGAGTGGAAATTCTCCTCGCATTTGCTTCCCTGGAGTCTGAGTAACGGGGGTGGGGGGCAGGTTATACCTGGCAGCACCTCTGGGACCTGGGTCATGTGCAGCCTCCTGGCCCCGTGTCCCTCTGTCCTGCAGCATGTCGGGCTGCGCTCCCAGTGACGAGGTAGGTGATAGCACACAGGCCGGGCGTCACCGGCACAGACAGGGTGTCCTAACACCACCTGCACCCACGCCCGCCCAGACCCACAGTCTCCTGTGCCCACACCCAGCTGTCTACACCCGCTTGCACCAACCCTTCCCCTCTTCACGGACACGGTTCTGGACCATCCCCGTGAGTCCTGCTGCCCCATCCAGGGCCAGTGCTCAGGTCCATCAGCTCTGATGACCTGGTGCCCTGCGTGCAGGTGGGGCCCTCCGTGTGGTTCCTCGCGGGCCCCCGTGGTTGCGTGGCCCTCTCTCCACGATGGCCACCAGTGCCACCAGAATGGCCACCAGCGTGGCCCCCTCTCCACGATGGCCACCAGCGTTGGCTCCCGGCCTGGCCCTGCCCCCCCCGCCTCTCAGCCTCCCACCCACCCCTGAGAGGGTCTCCGGCTCCCGTCTCATCGCCCGCCCGCTCCACATGGGGGCTGCTGACGCCCGGCTCGAGGCGAGGCCTTCACGAGCAGGTGGGCCAGGCCCACTGGCCGCCTGGACTTCATCCAGCAGCCTCCGCTGGCCTGCGTCCCCCTCACTCCCCCTGGCCGGCCCCAGGCTGTGCGGGGATGGGCTGGGCCCTGGAGGAAGCCGGACTCGGAGGGGTTAAGAGCGGGCGGCCGAGACGGACGGGGCTGGGGTTTCGTTATCACAGACGGAGGCCAGCGTCCCGCACCCCGTGATCTGGCCCAGGCCGCCCAGACCTGGGGGTGGGGTGGGGGGGAGGGATGGGGGTTTCCAAACGATGTAGCAAGTTCTTGTAAACACGCGTGTTCTGGGTCAGATGCCCCAGCAGCTCGACCCTCACAGGCAGAGCGCGGGAGCTGGTGAGTGGGGGCCCCACACGGGTGTGTGTGTGTGTGTGTGTGTGTGTCTGCATGCACACGTGTGTGTGTGTGTGCGCGTGCGTGTGTGTATGTGTGTGTGTCTGCGTGTGTGTGTCTGCATGCACGTGTGTGTGTGCGCGTGCATGCATGTGTGTATGTGTGCGCGCGCGCGTGTGTATGTGCGTGTATGTGTGTGTGCGCGCGCGTGTGTATGTGTGTGTGTGTGTGTGTGTTTCGGTGGCCCACACG